TCAGCAGGCAGGACTGGCCTAGGGGTATTTTAAAGGGGTTTTAAATTAAATTTTTAGTAGGAGCAGCCAAATCTGAATAGTTACTTTTAAATCTTTTTAAATTTTGTATTGTACTGTACTATTGTTTTAAACTGGCTGTAAGCCGCCCTGAGTCCTCCGGGAGAAGGGCGGGGTATAAATTTAATAAAATCAAATCAAATCAAAATCTACTCGCATTTGCCTGTGTTCCAACTGCTAGGTGGGTAAGAACCGGAGCAAGGAACAGGAGCTCACCCAGTTGCAAGGCACTTGGGTCTCGAACCCAGGCTGTCAGTTTTTTCAGCTGACAATCTCAGCGTGTTTAACCGCTGAGCCATCACAGTCCCCCACTCCCTTAAAACTATTATTCTACTTTTCATTCAATGGACATTCTGAAGACGGCTGGTAGCAAAGAAGGCAGCTACACAGTGTCAACAAAAACTTTCTCAGGTCACTGAATGTGCAGCAATGGTTTAAATGGTCCTAATACTTGAGAAGTGGGTTGACGTTGTGGGGAAGACCATATTTTTTATCAGGGAAGGAAAGAAAACACTAAACTGATCATCTATATCAGCGAACCCCAACCTTTCCGGTTTAGCAGCCCAACAGGGAGAGGGTTGGAGATGGTTCTGTGTGAGTGGTAGGCACATGCACAAGTATGCACAGCTCAATTTGTGTGAACGGTGGGTTCGAGCAGTTTCAAACCAGCTAAGGCAGTGTTTCTCAACCTTGACAATTTTAAGGCATGTGGACTTCAACTCCCAGAATTCCACAGCCAGAAATGCTGGCTGTGGAATTCTGGGAGTTGAAGTCCAAATGCCTTAAAATTGTCAAGGTTGAGAAACACTGAGCTAAGGCCTGGTAGTGGGCCACAGCCTGGAGATTGTGGACTCCTGATCTATATAATCCTCAACCTAAAATGTTCAATGTTGCCACTAGATGGCATCTCTATCATCCTGCAAAAAAAGTTATAGCCAACTTTGCTGATCTAGAAAGTCAAGCAGAGGTAACTCTCTACTTAACAGCCACAATTGAAACCAGACTTTCTATCGTAAGTTGATACAGCCGTAAAGTGAGTCATCACTTAACCGGATCCAATTTACTACCATTTTTTTATCACAGTCATTAAGTGAATTACATGGTTGCTAAGTGAATCCAGCTTCCCAGATTGACTTTGTTGGAAGCCAGCTGGGAAGGTTGCAAATTGCGATCACAGGACCACAAGATGCTGCAACCATCTTAAATACAGTTGCCAAGTCCCAAATTGTGATTGCATGACCACAGGGGCTGTGTGATGGTCCCAAGTTCAAGGACAGGTTGTAAGTCACTTTCTCTGAGGCCACCATAACTTCAAACCAGGGGTCTTCAAATTTGGCTCTTTTATGACTTGTGGACTTCAACTCCCAGAATTCCTCAGCCAGGCATGCTGGCTGAGGAATTCTGGGAGTTGAAGTCCACAAGTCATAAAAGGGCCAAATTTGAAGACTCCTGCTTCAAGCTATCATTAAACAGTGGTAAATCAAGAATTATCTGTAGAATTAGCTCTGCTTAGTACATGGATGTGACTGGACGTTGGACAGTATATAGCAAACAAAAGGAATGGCCTAACCTTTTTTTAGGGGATCAAGAAACCCCAGGGATATGTTCAGTAAGTCCCTAGGACAGTGGTGGTGAACTTATGGCACGGGTGCCAAAGGCGGCACTCAGAGCCTTCTCTATGGGCACGCGCAGAATTGGAATTGATTGATTGAACTTTTTAATCCCACCCAGTCTGCCATTACCACCGCAGCCATGCCCACCCAATGGGCCACACCCAGCCAATAGGCCACACCCAGCCAATGGGCCACACCCACCCAGCACCCAACGATGCATAAGTGGGTTTTGGGTTGCAGTTTGGGCACTTGGTCTCTAAAAGGTTTGCCATCACTGCCCTAGGACTTGAATTCGACTCCAAGATGGCTTTACTTTAGAAACAAAAGCAAGGATAGTCATGCCTTAAAATATCATTTCTTTTTTTATTGCAGGTCAACACTTTTCAAGCTATCCTGGCCACCGATGGAGAAATATCTTTCATCATGCTGAACTTTGCTGACATACAGTGGACCACTGGATTTGGAAACGATGGAGATATCTATACAGGGCTTGGAGGAATCCCCGCTCAGGTAGACTTTGGATAGTTTGAAGGTGCAGCAAGAAAGGCAGGTTTATGTCTGCCCAGGGAATGCAACCTCACTTAATCAAAGTGGACCGATACAAAACAGTGACCCTTATCTTTCTCAGTTCCTACTTTTATGCTGATGCTTTTGTTTTTCTTATGAGCTTCAGAAAACTTCAAAAAATACCAACCTCCATTGGAGAGCAAATGTCCTCTTCATTGCTAAGCAACACCATCCTCAACAACAGTGGCCACCAAAGAGTAGAGATAGTCCTCAAGTTACAACAGTTCATTTAGTGACAGTTAGAAGTCACGATGGCACCGAAAAAAGTGACTTAGGATCATTTTTCACACTGATGACCGTTGCAGCATCCTCAGGGTCAGGTGATCAAAATTCAGATGCTTGGCAACGGGTTCATATTTGTAACCATTGCGGTGTCCCAGAGTCATGTGATCCCCTTTGGCGACCCTCTAAGAAGCAAAGTCAATGGGGAAGCCAGATTCACTTAACAACCATGATTAACAACTACAGTGATTCACTTAATAAATGGGGCAAGAAAGGTCATAAAATGGGGCAAAATTCACTTAATAAATTGAGGACTACCTGTATTAAGAAGGAATGCTATGGCACAGCCAGCAGCGAGGAGGGAGAGGGGATAGTTCTGTCCGAGTGGTGGGCACACAAGCTGGCTGCTCACACAAATGGAGCACAGACGTTCACACGTTCAAATGCACAGAACCTGGCTTCCCCATCGACTTTGCTCATCAGAAGGTCGCAAAAGTGATCGCATGACCCAGGACACTGCAGCTGTCATAAATATGAAGCCACTGTCAGACATCCGAAAGTAAATCACATGATCGTGGGGACGCTAAAAGGTCATAAGTGTGCAAAATGGTTATGACTTTTTTCACTGGCGTTGCAACTTTGAATGGTCACTAAATGAACTGCTGTTAAGTCGAGGACTACCTGTACAGGGTCCACAATTGGATACCGTCTCTCAGAAGTAGCCTAGCCAAAGCAGGGTGGAGTGGGACAATTCCCTTCTGTGATATTGATTCTATGCTCCTGTTAACACATCGCAAAATAATCCTGCCCTTTTGAGAAGCTACATTATATGGTTGATACCCAGAATTGGAATCCAACAAGAAAATTTGTTAGGGTGTTAATTAGAAAGGATGTCATTCTTTACCTC